GAGGGACACAATTTACTCTCTATGAAAATTGTGGCCCCAAAACCCCAAAACCCCATAAGATAATAGTAGAAGTATATTGTGTAATGTTTTAAAATGCAAAGATATACAATAGATATTTAAGTAATAACTAAATCATAATATGATTAAGTGAAACCATCAATAATAGGCAGAAAAGTCAAGGTTCTCACACTCTCATTTATTCAATGAGAATGATTTTGCCCTTGTTAAACTGCTCAATCATTGAAGATGTCATCATTTAAGTCATTTTCTAGCGGAAGTCAAAAGCTTTTGTTTTTAATCTTATTTCCTTGCATTACTGCCATATAAACATCATCTGGCTATTGCATAGGTTCATCCTCATCAGAAGATACATATTCAGGCAAACCAAAGAAATTAAGACTTGGTATATAATCTGGCTTTGGCTTTGGCTCAACTTTAGAGAGTCCAAGTTCACTGTAACTCGCCTGACTATCGAAATCTATATAACTTTCTCCTTTGATATCTGGGGTTTAGAGACCCTAAAATGCTGAATCATTATCCAAGTTTCCATCCTTATTCATCATTTCATTGTTGAATCTCCTAGTTGAGATGGGCTTGACTTCTTCATCATAGATTTAATTAACTGGTATACCCTTCTTATGTAGCTTGAAAATTAGATACATAAGTTTATTCTCTTTGTTTTTAGCATAATCTAGGCCCTCCATTAGACTTTTATTTTCAAAGTTTAAAGACACTATCTATTCACTAAGCTTTTATATCTTCAAGTTGTACTCCTCTATAATAATGCTTGGATTCTATCTTGCATATATTTCTTGCATCTACTCATCTGATAGTGTAGGCTAAGATACAACTACCTGCTGCTGCTATTAGTATTGTATTTAACTTAAATTCAACTTATTATTTTCCTCTTCAACTTCAAGTCTTCTTTAATGTTCTTGATCTAGATCCTCTACTGCCTATTACAATTTTCTTTCAATATCTCTTTTTTCGAATCTTAATTGCTCATATTTAACTTCCATAGTTACTCCCTGCTCTTCAAAATGCTTGCGATCTAACTTCAAAGATTCTATTTCAACTTTCATCTTGAATAACTAGTTTTCCATTCGAGTAGCACTATCTTACAGTTTTTTAATAGTTTCCTCTTATTCATTCGATAAAAACTTAAACTTTCTTTTTTTATCTTTTAATTCTATAAATAGACTCTCAATAATCTGCTAAACTGAATACACTACACTTTAATACTCTTTATGAAGTACAACTTGCTTCAGATCATTGATTTAATCGTTAAGATACTTGAATTTATGCTCAAACGAGGGTAAAATTGAAAATTCCTTCTCATAAGTATTAAGTCTTTTTCCAAGCGCAGTCAGATCATCAAAGTTAATATGAGATTATTGTTAAACAACTAGAGATGTATTAAAAGAATTTTGAAAAGCTACGTTTTAAAAGGGTTAGTTTTGGTTTTATTAAGAATTTTACTATTGTTATTATTAAGATTGAGGTTATGTTTACTATGAGTATTGCTATTGCTGCTAAAATTAAAAGCCATTGCCTTAAGAAGTTGAGCTATTATACTGAGACAGCGATAACTATGGTGGTTATTGATTGTTTTGATTTTATAAAATTGAAGAAGAATCATGAAATTTTTAAAGCGATTGGGTTGATTCCTTAATACAAATACTTGTACCTACCAAGTCCAGGGAACTTGCAATAAACTCTGGTTATTTCTTATCCTCAATTTTGGATTCTTTGTAAAAACTTTAGCTCATATTGTGCTTTATAATGGCTGAGTTATTATTGATGTCATTTTACTTCCTCATCTCTTTATCGAGAATTGCAATCGATTCATCAGCAAGTCTTAAGATGTTAGATGCGTTTTTACTTTATGGTTAGGGTATATCATTTTATTAAAAGGATTAGCTGATATTCAAGTGCGAGTTTACAAAACTCTTTAGCTATTAGACACTATTGTTCAACTTATCCTTAGAGCTATTAAGATTCTGATGAAACATAGTCTTTTGTTTGATTAATTTGTTTGTTCCAGTAGAAGGTGGAAGAAATTTATTGAAATTCCCACCCTTAATCCGATTGTGAATCTTGGGTAGCTTGTTTAAGTCAAACTTTCTGCCGCTTGGAGAGGCATTTAAAGAGGATGCTACTGGGGCATAGTACTTGAGACTGCTATTGGTACGTTTATCCTAAAATTTAAGAGCCATTTTAGGGGATTTCCCATCCAAATTTATCCGACCAGGATACTTTACTTACATGGTGTTAGAATACTATGGTACATGATTTGCCTGATTCACATTGAACACATATTCATGATGATTTCGCTTCTCATCTTGTCCAGTAATTGGGTTTAATACAAGATTATAATGATTATCTTAAGACTAGCTTCACTCAATTAAAACCCCATCCTTATTTCTTGGAAAAGCTGAGTCACTTGTAGCTTTACTTAGTTTTCGAGCTCGATTAATATAATACTGATCATTTGTTATAACATTGTGCAGCATTGGCTTCATATTTTCGCGAGATTATTTAGTCTGCTGTGGACTCGGCTTCAGCTACAGTTATTAAGTTATGTTCAAAGGGAAAGTAAAAAAGTTAAATATGAGTAGAGCCTACCTTGACAGACTGATAGTAGGGGTTATTTGGAATCTTTCGTTTCTGATTTTTAGAAATTGTACTCTAATTTTCTAACTTCAACTCCATGTTAATTAAGAATAATTTTGAATTAATAAATAAAATAATCTCCTCAAACAAAAAGTTCCCTACTTAATTAAATGTTATCATATAAATATTTCATGTTATTAAATCTAGCACATGAAAAACTAGTACAAGTATCTGAAAAATAATATTGATCTTGCTATTAATTTTTCCATTTTTGACTATTTTTCCTCTATGTGGGGTTTTGGGGTTTTGGGGGCAAATGAACAGCTAAAATGAACATCA